ATTTATGACTCTTTGAAGCATCGCGGTCCATTCCTTGGTGCAGTTCCAATTTTTGCTAGGAATCATTGCTGGTGGCCATCACGTGCTGTCTTCGTCTCCCGAGGAGGTTCTATATGTGTTCGATGGGATTTAGGTCCGGGGACTTTGCATACCAATCCATGCGTTGAATATTTTCACTCTCCAAGAGTTCTGCAACAGCCACTGTACAATGAGGTGTAGCATTGTCATCCATGAAGAGGAATTTCAGATGAACGGCACCTCTAAACCTCTCGTTCTTGGACATGGTGCAGAAAAACCTCAGCACAGTAGCAGACACCAGTGACTGAATGTCTTCGGAAGATGGAGAGGTCGGTACGGCTACCAAGCATAATACCATCTCAAACGAGATCTCGGGCTGCTTCAAAAACGATCACTTTGTAGGATATTGGAGAACCTCGTTACACGATGTGGAGATGAATATAGCTACCAAGCACGGTAACTACTCCAAACAAGAACTTTGGCCAGTCCCTTTCAATGGTGTTAGAAGGATGATTATGCGTTCTATTCTTTCACCAGATCTGTATACGTTGAGAATCACTCATCAAACTAAATAGGCTCTCATGCTTAAAGAGCAGTCGACCCTACACAATTCTTGTGTTATTTGCACAAGAATTGTAGTAGTAATTTATGATAGTAACTGGCATCTCTGGTGAGGTATCAATGACACACACTGTACTGGTCCCTTTGCACATAGACTATATTTGTGCAGCCTCCAGCTATGGTAGAGCATGATATCAGACATCCAATAGTCTATTTCATACGCCTTGCGATTTCTTCCTCTGTCTGCCACCTGTTTCTTCTCATCTGTACGACAACAATCGTCTGCAGCCGCTTTTGCTCATGGACGACCACTACTGAATGCTCGGACGGCTGTTCCACCAGTTTGAAATGTTGTCCAGTGAAATAATGCTGTGAGCAATACCGGATTCCATCGCCACACTTTGACCTATGTCATGTGCCATATGTGTGCTTGCCCTACTGCACTAGTCCCAAGTATATCCCGAATGGGCTTTTGGTCTGTTCTATTGCATTGTTTCGCTTTATGGAAAATTTGAATTTTGAAAAATATCCGCTTCGTCCTAATTTTTGCACACAAATGTACGAAGGTGCAACAAACCTGAAATAGGCATGTTGGGATATGCAAATAATTAGCATTTAGTGAAGAGTGATGATGACTCAAATCGGTGCAAACAGCAGATTGAAATGTCAGTTTCTCATTCAGAAATCTCCTCTTTTTGTAGCGATGGAGGTCATGGTATACCTCGTCTAAAAACAAACTCCTGCCAGCTTCTCTTAGAATTTGAGCCTGGGAAAATCATGAGGACATCAGATTATCATACCATCTAAGCATACATGGTATGATACCATTTGGTTATGATCTTGGTTTGCCATGTAATATGGTTTTTGGACAACCACCGAACTTCTCCGTTTAAGCAGTATGTGAAAGACTTGAAGGCGCATTTAGAAGGCATTTATCCGTTCCTTTAAGGAGCAGTGCCGTGACTGAGATGATGATGACGAAATACAATGCTAAGTCGATGTAATTCAAATGAAAAGATCAAGTCTGATTATGACTGTAGACTTTTTGGGAGAGGTTTTTCCTTCTCGTGAAAGTCAATGACAATGTGATGGTTATATAATGAAGTAGTGTGGCTCCTTATTGTACTTTTGAATGGTTATTTTTTGTATAGAATTATAGCTCTGATTCAGAAGGCAACAACGTTTAAATTGCGAAAATAGTTGAAACAGATTTTTAGATTATAGGCAGACACTCTCTCATTGATCCTTGGCAATATCTCGTCAACTCCAGCACGGATGTTGAAATTCTAAGTATCCTATTTATTCCAGAACATCGATAGCAAGATATTCCATAGCATCGGATGTCAAGTAAATGATATAAGCACCTCAAGAACCGAATGCATTGAACCACCCCTTACACAGAAGAACTGACAAGGATTATTACTACGCTCAATACAAGAAAAAAAAAAAGACGGCTTGCCAGGCTCGATAAAAGGATATTACTTATCTTATATCAAGCGTACCCAGATATTCTGTATACCTTCCTTATTACCTACTGCAGAATTCGACTTTACCCTGCTGACACGAAAGTAGCAAAAATGATCCTATTCTTCAAGCTAGGAAAGCATCAGAACCATCTTCCTGTAGACAAATTTGTTTACTGCCAGCTTGGGCAAAATTCTAGTATGGGTTATTTTACAAAGACTGACCTTCCATCTTAAATAATTTAATCTACTTCCTAGTAGGCAGTATGAGTTAAAAGGAGGAAAATTAACTGATCATGCAGTGAATGACCTAATAAATTAAATTCCACTAATAAAATCAACAAGAAATATAGCATAATCATTTCATTAAATATTAAGGGGGTATTTGATAATGTTTGGTTGCCTGATATCTTTAATGTACGTTCCATTTAGGGTAATCAATATGGTTTTCAGCTATTTGGAAAACAGATACATACAGGTTACAACAGATAATTGAATCCATAAATTTTAAGTTATAAGGGTTGTTCATGGTGTTCCTGTTTGGGACCCATGTTATGGAATTTAGTGGTGAATTCAGCTTTTATCCTTTACAATGATATGCTTCATAATGACATCCTTGCATGTGTGGAAGACTTAGTAATAGTTCCCCGTGGAACGGAATAGACAAGTTTATTGTTGGTTTTAATTGACATATAAATGATATTCTCTAAGAATGATCTACTTCTAATAAAAACACATTATATAGTAATATATAAAAAGAAAACTTTATTAAATAAAATTAGTTATAAGAAACCTTACCGCATTCTACAAAAGCATAACCCACCCTCTATATGCCAGATACATTTTTAACTCATTCTTTTACAATTTAAGAATATATTAATGTTGCCAAAATATTAAAACTTAAAAGTATACTTTATAAACAAATATCATCAGTTATTTCCAAAATTTTGATCAGTGAAAGACGCACATATTCTAAAATCTGCAGATTTCTCACAGGCCATGACCCGTTCCCGCAGTGTATGTATCGTTCCAGCATTAAAGAGTTCCCGCAGTGTATGTATCGTTCCAGCATTAAAGGGTATGGTCTTAGCTTGTGCAGTACACCTGGTACACTTTATCTATTCATCTGCGTGTGCCAGCTGCCGATCACTGGAGAACATGAATTCAGAATGTTAACAGAAATAACCAGTGATGAGAAAAATAATCACAGCTGAATGACTGTGTGTAGTTACAAATGACTTTTACATGCACTTATTTCTACATGATTCTATGCTTATAATATACTGTTTTTAATCTGAATTTATTATGACTCTTATCTGAATAAAAAGTCATCATTCATATTGCAGATTTATGTAAATTGCATAACATTTTTTTGGTATTGTATATAGTTTATTTTTTCATACTACTCATTCTTACAGTATATAGTTTACTTGTAATCTGTAGCAACTATTCTTCAACGTTATTATAGCTCATGGTTGTATATCCATGTCTATGGTTATTTGCGTTCCTTTTCCCATGATATTCTCCAACAATCTCATGCTCCTATTTCATACATTGCATCTCTGGTTGCCTAAGAGTTGAACTCCTTGGGATTTTTCTACTGGTTGGGTAATTGAGCTGTTTGCTTACTCAGTTTGCAGGAAAGCTGCCCTTCCTGGCAGTGCAACAAAGTTCCTAGAAGACTTTCTAGTTCCTAGTTCCTAGAAGGAACACCATATAAATGCAGCTCTAATAGTATTCAGTCAGTTGTTGTTTCCGAGTGATTTCAGAGACACTGCAACGTAAAGAGTGAGCTGAATTGCATTTCAAATGCAGCTCCAATAGTATTCAATCAGTTGCTGTTTCCGAGTGATTTCAGAGACACTGCAACTTAAAGAGTGAGCTGAATTGCGTTTCAAATGCAGCTCCAATGGTATTCAATCAGTTGCTGTTTCCGAGTGATTTCAGAGACACTGCAACTTAAAGAGTCAGCTGAATTGCATTTTAGAATTTACTTTGTGAGTGATTTTAGTAATCTACAATATTAGTCGTGTTATAAAGATTCTGAATCTCTAAGTTCTTCTTCAGTTATTTACTTGATTTGCTGTGTACTGCTATTTTTTCTGTATATTTCTAATTACAATTAATTGTCAGTTTCTTCCTACTCATCTAGAAAAATTATTTTAAGAGGACCTATATCTGCATTTTTAATTTTGATGCAATTTATGATATGTGTAATGCAAATAATTTATATTTAACTGAGGATTAATTTAAATGACAGTGGCCAAATAATTGCTGACTTTTCAAGACGGAAAAATTAGAAAAAACCTTTCTCTAATATTTAGTGCTAAGTTGTCTTGGAACTTCTAATTAGAAAACACTTTTTGTCTATTATTTAGTGTAAGTTGTTTTGGAATTTTTAGTGTACTTAAAGTGTTACTTTGTTACTTTTAATGTACTTAAAGTGTAATAATTTATATTTAACTGAGGATTAATTTAAATGACAGTGGCCAAATAAATGCTGACTTTTCAAGAGGGAAAAATTAGAAAACACTTTTTGTTTAATATTTAGTGTAAGTTGTCTTAGAACTTCTTTAAAGAAGCTGAATAAATTGTCAGATTTTTTTCAACTATTTATAGTGAAAAAAATTTATCTTAAATGAAGAATGTTTCATCACAGTTTTTTGTTTTTACCATTTTCCTTCTACATTACTCAAAAATAATCTTAATACAACACTGTAGTGCAGATCATAAATTAGATTAATTACTGTATGGAATTTGAAACTATTTTGTCAAAATTATATGCACATATTAAGCAAGAAATCATATAATTTTTTCTATCACTTTTAATACAATGTAAAATTACCCATTAACTATTCGTAATTTTTCATTTTAAATAAACAATGCATCAAGATTGTAAATATTTTGTATGTCCTTTATAAAAAAAAGATTTGTAGGTGAACCATAGATAGAAAAGAATGAGATGAACACATATGCCATTTTGTATTTACACATAATTAAAGTAGTAAATTGTACAAACAGTTAAAAACAATGTAAAATTATACAAAATGTACAAAAAGGTGTAAGGAAAAATATAATAAATAAATAGTTAAATAGAAGATAAAATAAAAAGAGACTAAGTCAAAATGACTCTTCTGAAAGGAGATTACATACCAGTTATCTTTGGTCTTGCAAAACATTTTAAGTTTGAAATAACAAAAAGGATTTTTCTTCTTTACAGACATAAATATATATATATATATATATATAAAAGAAAAATCTGAACTGATAAATTAATCACAATTTTTTAAAACTGTACAGTAAAACACATTTTCAAACAATATTTCATCTAAACATTAGAAAATATACAATTAACTTATACGTGTTAAGTTGAGCTTTATGGCATCATAATATATCAAGTACACTTCAATTAAAATCTTTAAATGATACAACTTCAAATATTAATCTCTAAGATGAAAAACATGAAGGCTGTAGGATCTAAATTAAAAATAATTATTTATAACATGAGCAATGTATAAAATATAGTCCACCTAATTAGATGAAGAGAAAATGACATCATGTCATCATAAATGAAAGATACAACCACAAGATACCTTCTTCCCCTTCAAACATCTAAGTAAGTTTGTTTAAAAATATCATAATAATTGATACTTTGGAAAAATTGTTATTCATTTAAGTAATGAAGGGGAAGAGACATCTCTGTAACAAATTAAAAAAAAAAAATCAATTATTAAAATTTAATTCAAAAAGTTTCTCAAATTATAGTTTTTATCATGCAAATTTAAGATATAAAATGTATGTAAAGTAGTAACTCAACACACTGTTATCTCAGTTGAAATTGTAACCAAGTTATTTTTACTTGAACTATAATCATAATAAATTAAAAACTACTATTTGGTATGAAAAATGATATAAAATTATAGAGAATTTTTCTGTAAGATTCATATGGTAAAATGGATAAAAAAATTTTAGACAATGTAATTGAGATGAAAATTAATGATATTGCAGTCTTGGATGGATATGTGTTAATCGATGTAATGATTTTCTATAATGAATGTAATGATATCCTATGATTAAAAATATTTTGGAATAAAATATTTTTATCAGGAATGTCTAAAAAGAAAAACAATCTTAGTCAAAAAACTTTTAAGTAATAAACTGAACTAACAACTAATAAACTGAACTTTAAGTAACAAACTTAAAACTAACAACCAGTTTAAAAAAAAAAAAAAAAAAGAAAAAGACTGATTTTGAAAGGAAAAATATCAGTATTTCATTCATTCAGCAAACCAAAGTATTCATTTTCATATCTAATTTATAATATTTGTGATTTACTTTCCATCTAAATTTATTTCACTCAAATAATTGTCTGTATTTACTATGCACACATACAGTACTGTACCTTGCAACACTCGAATAATTATCTATGAAATGCAGTCTTGATATCATTTCCTCAAAAATACAGCCTTTTATGATAAATAGCGTTTTAAAGAATGATAGTACACATTTCATTATTTTTACTCAACAGCAAGAATGATATGTTAATAGTAATGTATTATAACTTCAATAAAGAATAATGTTTTAAATATGACTTCAGTTCTGACACAATCCAGAGAACTTATCGTTCAACACGAAATTTTTAACATTCATAGAAGTTTCTAAAATATGTCAACATTATAGTAAATTTTTCTTTCCTGCTATAATTATACAACAGCATTAAAAATTTTATTAAGCTTAAAACGAAGATTCGATCTTACACACAGTTTTTTTTTAATACATCAATTTACAAAACTTTTAACAAACAGCAAAATCTATGTTACTAAACCTACACAAAAGGTTGTACTAAGTAAAAATACACTGCACAAATTAAATGCATTTTTCATAGCATCTTACTTTGTTCATTCGTAGATCAATACATAAGTATGTTTTAAGTAGTTTCAATGCTTTCTTTTTACATTAGAAATGGTGCTTTTTGAAAGCAAAGCTTTTGAATTCCTCACATGCTTATACTCCATATAAATGTTAATACAAAGTATTTTATTTCACTTAATAAGAAAACTGGCACAATATTAATAAGTATCAATGCAGTTTAATTGTGAAAGGGAAAGAGTAGTAAAATCTTAAGCCAAAGAAATGTTAATTACACAATCTTAATTAGTAAATGAAAATACCTTACTAAAATGTTATTGTACGTTAAACCAGGCTACGAGGCTATGATATGATCTTTAATTATTTTATAAAATAACTAAAACATGGCAATATTTGCCAACTTTTTTACACACATTTTTTTTCTCAATTGCAGAAGAAAAAGTCTCGAACAGTTTGGGTAACATTAAATACAAATGGATATTTTTGAATGCATGCTACTTTCCTTACAGTAAAATTGCAATTTTTAAAAATTTTTTTTGATTAAATATATATATCATATTTTGTATTTAGTTTCTGTATTAAAATTTAATGCCCAATCTCTCACACAGGTGTAGGTTAAAGCAAGGTTAGCACATGCAAATCCCAAACTATTAGACATCCCCAGGCCTTGTTAATTGTTAACATAAAGATCATCAGATCCCTTTTCAATCGGGGGGGGGGGTGTGAAGGGAAGAATATGTCTATAAGTAAATGGCCTCTTATTAAAAAAGAGCACTTGAACTAAAACCACGACTTGAGAAAGAAAAACATTTGAAATGAATTATACATCTTTTTTTTATCAAAATATGACAGATTCAATAATAGATGACTATAACTTCCACCAAGTGTAAACAGTCTAAGGAGTAAAAAAATGAAAAGTAGTGGCTTTGTAATAACAGGTCGGATAAAATTCAACATAGAGTTAATGAATATCTTCAGAATTAGTATAATTTTAATATATAATAGACTCCATACTAAATCTCTTTACCTGTCAGTAAGAAGGAACACAAATTTTATCTAACGAAATTAAACTGATGAGCTGATTTTATCTACAAACATTTAATTCTTTAAAGTGAATACTATATAATTACACAATAAGTACACTTATTTTTTATATTTGTTATTAATTTTATATACAATTTCATTTATTTTAAAATTTTGAGAGATAAAAGATGCCTTACAATTTTGATTGAAACAACTTATGCAATATCCTTATTCTTTTTATACTCTTCTGTCAAATATCAGGCTTCTACGAAGAAAGCAGAATTTACAGGAAGGAATCAAAATTAAGGATTCGATATTATATGCTGTTTTAAAAGAACTAAAGAATGATACTGAACAGAAAAATAACATATGCATGCTGAATTTTTAAGTATACGTGAATGGGAAAGAGAACTAAATAAAAAGTGAACTATTAAAGACATGACTAGTAAACTTCGATCACAGAACATTTACTCATAATTTTAATTATAGGTAAATGCTTAAAGTATTAGTTTTAAGGCCTAGAAATTTTCCTGTCTCTGTATGATGAATATCCATACTGCAATCACTTTTTCGTTTTTTTTAAATTCAATCAGTAGCATGAAATAGCAGTAAAATTCTATAAAGTTTTGAATGAAATCTAAAACTTGTGCTTGCTGAAACTCGTATATAGCCTCGGACAAAAAACTTCAAAAAATAAAATTGATTTTAATACATAATTCAATGCATCAAAACAATAAATAAAAATATCTTAGTGTCACAAGCAATAAATGTCAATAAAAAGGATTTTTTTTTCTAAATTTACCAGATTGGACAATATTTTATATCTCATTCAGTGTTTATTACACTACCCATTCTGTAGAGTTTTATATGCATATTGCTACAATTTAATACATTAAATACTTTTGATTAATAACATCGATATGGCATTTTGAAACACAATTTCAATTATTATAATTTCAAATATTCACAAGTCCCAGTAATCTTTAAAAATATTTCTTCCTTTTATAATGGAAGTTCTGTACAATGAAAATCTGAATTTACAAACTGTATTATTTAATATTATGCCTCAAAATTTCAGAAGTAGCTTCAGTTAAAAAGTAAATACATATACTATAAAAAAAATCTCCCCCTCCAAATTACTTTTCATCAACACTTTGAGAAGTAGGTTAAGCAAGCAGATAATGCTTGACTATTGTAATCTAGAAATTTGCAATTCTCAAGTTCACTGTGACATTTTTTTAATAGTATAAATTCTCGATTTAGTCTACCCTAATAATAAAAATGATCCTCTAATAAGCTATATATTTCCATAACAACATATATATGTTATTTAGAAAACCTTATCTCAAAATAAGTTCAATTAATAAAATCAAACTTGTCTAATAAAAATACAAATGAACATTTTTTACTTATTGAAAGGACTTCATTTTGTAAATTTGAAATGAATTTTAAAAATTAGAAATGCAATAAAAATATAACAGTTCCTAATGATGATTCAGATATTAAAAATTTATATTTCTCAAAGTGTTCATAAGAAGTTAATTAATGATGGAATTCTGCAACAAAATAAATTCTATTGCATTCTACTGCAGATGTAAATATGTTTCTACAAAGCTTTATGGCTTTTCAATAAATATTTACTATTTTCCTGTAACTAATATACTATAAGTTAAAACAGTATAAATAATGCAAATGCACAAAAAATGTTTAATTAAAACTGCTAGATTAAATGCAGCTAGTATGTGAACTTCAAAAGAATTAATAGATCTCCTAGACTAATGCTTAAATGCTTCAGAAAAGTAATATGTTATCATATATACAAAGGAAAGAAGCAGTAAAATCTAACTTTATGTTCTTCAGATTATCAGTTCTGACTGCCATCTACATAATATTTAAACATGACAGTAAATTATTAAAATGTTACTATAAACATTTGAAAATTATTACAAAATGGAATATTTTAGACAGAAATTACACAACAATGCTCTGGTTCATATTTCAGTGGGATTAATTAAACACAACCTTAGAACAGGCAAAACATATCTCGTCATAAACTGAATAATGATAACCTTTAGCCTATTAAAACTGATAAAATTAACTACAGTCAGAAAGATTATTATGAGGAAACTGCAAAAACTGTAGGCCAGCATTTCTAAATTAGTACTTTTTACCATGTGTGTAACTTTAAGAGATTGTTTTCACATTAAGTAAACACTTTGCTACATATTTTTTGAGCAACCTGACCGGCCTATAAGCAAATACTGCCCACATTTGCTTCTAAAAAACTTTTCATAGTTAATTCTAGAATCCTTGAGTTATACCATCAGTAAAACTACAAATTTCTCATTATAAATATATATTGTATGTATATATTTATGCATGTTATGTGTACGTTATGCATATATAAATATTTACAGCTTGAAAACACATCCTATTGTATTAGCACCAGACACACTGCACATCAACAGTTAAATTTCACAAGAAAACACATATCCATGCATTTAAACATACCCAAAAACACTTCGAATGAAAGACTGTATTTTAAAAAATCCAACAACTTTCTAAACATAGAGACATTGCCATTATAATTTCTCTACGAGCTATTTTACACTATGTTAGAAATATATTTACACGAGCAGAATTTTTTAAAATGTAACAATATTCTCCAACCATTAATAGGAGATTCTGCTTCTCATTAGTTCGGAAGAAATTCAACAATATCACTAATACCCTTTTTGGTCATATTTTCTTTTGTATTTTCATTGCAAAATGTTCTTTTACTCAATAAGTTATTTTAATTTTACGTTCATATTTAATGCATATATGTGTACATATAAGCAGCAATTTATTGTCATTTTGAAGTACATCCCCGTCAGACCTAATAAATTTGTATAAGAATCAAAATTAAATCATTGCAAATAAGTTACTCGGTATAAAATACAGAAAATGTCAAAGATAAAAACTACATCTGCATATAAATCTTAACTTTCTTTCAATCATTCCATTCAAGGAAATTACACCTATTAGCATTTGTCATTCAATATAATATATTACTATATAAGACACCTTTAATTTGTTTGAAAATTTTGGCAATGAACAGTCTCATTTACAAGTAAATTATACAACTCTATATAATACTGTATCTTGAGTAACTGAACATCTTTGCGTGGTTATATTCTACATTCCCAGAGCACCATGTCATGTTGTGTGCAGCTAAGTGCAAAATTCCACAAAGGCACAATATAATTTCAGTTTTGCCTAGACTTATGGAACAGTACACACTGTATATTTTTCATTCCCTGGAAACCATTAATGATACTGTAGTCCCACTTTCTTGAAGTACTGCTACAGCTTTATTATGGTCTAACTGTGTGAAATCATTTCCATCAACCTACAAATGACAAAATTGTCATTGACAAAAACCATTAAATGATACATGTAACTTCTAATTTTATTGTTTTGATTTGATAAAATTTTCAACACACTGAAAATATATATAAAAAATGATACATGCAACTTTATTATTTTGGTTTGATAAAATTTTCAATGCACTGAAAATGTATAAAGTTTAAAATCCAGATATCTAATAACTGGAATGATCTATTATCCAGATCCTCTATACATTTTTTCAAACAATTTTTTTCTTACCATAGTGTACAAACAGATAATACTATAATGATGGACATATAATAACTACAACTACATGAACAGATAATATACAGGTATACTAGTATGAAAACTTAACCAACTTTTCTAATTTTGGCAGTAATTCTGTCAAAAAGAAAAAAGGGAGACATGAAATAGTTCACAAGACAGGGTTAAGCTTCCAAAAGTAACATTTTTCACTTCAGATAATAAAACTGAAGAATTAACTGCCAATTGTGAACATATACTAGATATAATAAATGGTAAAGAATAGAATAACACAGATAAAACTAAATAATTATGAAGAATTTATATACGTCAATACAGTACAAAGTCTTTAATCCGGACTCGTCGGGACTTCGGCAATTCCGGATAAGTGGTTTTTCCGGATTATGGATCATCAATTTAAATCTGGTAAGATGGCATGCAGAAATAATAAAATTAAAAATATGAAACTGTAATTTATGAAATAAAGAGCAATTATGATCTAAAGTAGTGTTTCTCAAACTTATTTCTTCTACCACCCCCTTTGAAAATAAATTATTTTTCATCGCCCCCCATTTTTTATACACTCCTAAAACTTAAAAACCACAATTTCTTTACTTTAATTAATTTAGTTATAGTGTGCTTTATTATTCGGTTCTGGTGTTTAAACTTACATTCTAAACTAGAAATTTTTACCAGTGTGAACAATTAAAATGCAACTTTATAATATTAATAATATATTTTAATCAAATTAAAAGAAACAATATAGATAGGTAATCAATTTTAGTTTTTAAACTAATCTAATGGGATGGATGAATTTGATGATTTTTAACAAGTTTGTTGATATGAGGTTCGATTTTACTCAAAAACAGTCGTAAGTCGCCGCGTTTGGTAACTTGCAAATTATTTCTCTTTTTAGTAAGCAGCGTTGTCACAGTGCCAAATCCAAGTTCACACAAATATGACAATGGGAATGATATCAAAAATTGTTGAACGATCGACCACAATCCAGGGTACAACTGCGGAATTGACTTTTGTAGCCAAAATTAATGGTAGCCATTTTTAAATTTGATTTTATTTCCTCGTTCGCTGTCAGTTCTATAAGTTCTTCCAGCTGGGGTGATATTGCTGTGTTGACTTTTGAAAAAGGATCTAACACCCAGTCTAGTACTATTTCCAATTTCAAAATGTCCTGGAATTTTTTAATGAAATCACTGTGAAGATTTTCCAAATGTTGGCAGTAGACGAGCAAGTCGTCGTTGTTGCAGGATACTGATAAATTGTGAAAAGTATGGAATTCACGTCTGCCGATATTCTTCTTGTGTAAGGCAGCTTGGCTACGAAAGCAGCAACGATATTTTTAATTTTTATTAAGTTCAAGTCATCGTCTTGAAGTTGGAGATTCATATCATTAAACAATGTATAAAGGTCTGTCAGGCATGTGATATCATTCTTTGATGTGATGAGGTTTTCGCGTAATGCTGTGTCTTTGTTTTCCAAGAACTCTATGACAGAATCAAACAGATTGTAAAAACGAGTCAGACAGTTTCCTTTTGATAGCCAACGCACTTCTGTGTGAAAGATCAATCTGTTGAAATCTTCATCATTAGCAACACAAAGCTGATTAAATAATCTGTCATTTAAAGAGTCGTTTCGGATTTTATTGACTGCTCTGATGACATGTTGCAATGATTGAAACAGTCGTTCACTTAAATTTCTAGCAAATAAATGCTGTCAATGTATAACGCAATGTACAGCAATCACATCAGGAATTCTGTTTTTTAAATACAACATGAAGCCTTTTTGAAACCCTGTCATAGTTGGAGCACCATCTGTAGCAGCTGATATAATATTCTTCAAGGGAATTCCTTTTTCATTACAAAACTTTACCAGTGTTTTAAATATGGTTTCTCCCTTTGTGTCTGTCTCTAAATTTCTAGCAAATAAAAGTTCTTGACATATTTTTTCATCTTTAATGAACCTCACGTAAGAAAACAACAATAGTTCATTAGTTGGTAAAGTGGACTCATCCAACTGAATTGAAAATTGACTAATCTTCAGATGATTGCACAATGACTCTTCAATGTTTTCAGCCATTTCATCAATTGGTCTTTGCACAGAATTATTGCTCAAAGGAATTTTTCGAATTATATCTGCCGCCGGTTTATGGAGCACAGTAGTTATAACTTCTTTTATCGCTGGCAAAATTAACGTTTCACCAATGGTGTGTGGTTTACCTGTTTGAGCAATTAACAGAGAGATATTGTATGAAGCTTGAAGTCCATTATCATCTTGCTTAGCAGCCATCGAAAAAAGTTTTGATACACTTGGCTGAGCATTATTTTCCCGATCTTGAAAATAGGTTATACTTTTGTCCTTCTTATCTGGATGCATTTTATTTAAATGATCTTGGAGGCTTCATCGCTTCGTTTGAAAATGTTTTTGAACAAAGAAGGCACAAAGGCAAAGATGGGTTTGTCGAATTTTCTATGAATCCATATTTAATATATTCTGCACTGTATTGCCGCTTCTTCTTTTTTGCTTGCGACATGGCTTTTTTTTTTCAAAAATATGTAAATAAAGTGTTGAATTTAAATACGCGTTTAAAGACAGCGCGCGAAACCACTAACGTAAATATAAGAAAAATTGCGAGCTTTTATATAGGATTTAAATTAGCAAGCACTGACAAGAATAAGACAAACACGCACAAACTCGTTTATCTCGTTCGACGCTCAATCGTACTGAGCAAGTTAAAACAAGTATCGATGAACCAGCCGATTGCTACCATGCACAGTCCCTTTTCGTATTGCAAAACCGCAATATGAATCAACGATTCTATTCTGAAAAGGGGTGATACGCTGAGATGGACTTTTTCCTCAGACCTGGTTTTTCAGAAGCACACGGAAGCACGCATGTTAAGTAAACATTTCTCTTTTGTCTCAACCCTATTTTGATGAACTCCAAAGCTGACCTGACACATGCGTAAAAGCGCTGAAGGTTTCTCCAAACGAAAACGGACAGTATGTCTACGGAGCACAACATCATAAGTGCACCAGCTCCCGCAGTTAGTCTTTTTTCCCCGGAATGTTTGCCACATTTGGCGATTCAAGCATTTACACAGCTGTATGTTTTTCGTCATTTTACAACGTACTTGCATATGGCGTGCGGGCTATCCTATTAAATCTATGTTAAGTATTTTAAGTTTCTATACCATCATACAGGGTAGAAATATAAACTAAGTATTCGTTATTGTGTAGTAAGGTTTTAATTCTAGTGAAATTTAAAATATAAAGTAAATCAAATTACAAATCTACCATCGCCCTCCTAACTCACGTCAACACCCCTCATTGTTTTCTGGGCCCCTTAACGCCCTCCTCTACGTCTCAAACGCCCACTTTGGGAAAGACACTGATCTAAAGGGTATCAAAATTTACAATCAAACAAAACAAAACAAAACAAAACAAAAAAAAAAACAAAAAAAAAAAAAAAAAAAAAAAAAAAAGAGCTTAATATTTATTTGTTTACTTTATTAAACATTTCTTTCAATGTAAGTTGTTTAAGTTGCTTCGTTTTTTTTGTGCTAATACTTTCTCTTTAATTCTATAAATAGTTATAATTTCTTGTTCAGTTCCACCGTTCAAGTCCTGTAATTGCCGAGTCGAGAATACCGACTAACTTGTCAATCAAAATTTTTTCGTTTTCAATAACCTCTCTGTCACTTTCTTTACTATCTGAAGCGGTACATCGAAACATGCTTTTGCTTTGTAGATCCTTTGGCAGCTCCAGAATCGGAAACATAATTTTAGCTTAGCTTATACTGTCTGTTATACATTAAACGCGCATGCGTGAACATATTATGTGCATGCATAAACGCATTATGCATTTATGCTTGCACAGAAAGTTTGTATATTTGAGGTCCTGATAATAGATCATTCCGAATTAAAGGATTATGGACGTCCAGATAATTAGATAATTTTAGCCTAGCTTATATCGTCTGTTCTACACTAAACGTTTTATGCGCATGCATAAACGCATTATGCGCTTACGCATGCACAGAAAGTTTGTATCTTTGAGGTCCGGATTATAGATCATTCAGGATTATGGACGTCCAGATTAAAGACTTTGTACTGTATACAAATGAGAGAAATGATAGATGTAGCATTCTGGATAATTTAAAATTATGCAAAACAGCAGATTTAATTAGGGACAGATTTTGACTAAGACTATTAATTTTAAGGGTAAAATTCCTATTCTTCAAATGAAAATTAAAATTTTACATTGGCATGTTTTTTTCTTCCCTTGCTGTCAGATTCTAGATGATGATGATGATGATGATGATGACAAAGAAATTGAACTAGCAGAAAATTTAACAAATATCCTGGAAATTTTCTGTTATTACATTTAAGATTTTAAATCAATAGTGTTGTATATGATGTTAGGCATTCTCATTTTAATGAACTTAAAGTGAAACTTCAGTGAAAGATAAAAAGAGATACTATCTTCAATTTTTAATTAGTTTTAAAAACTACATATCAATATTGTATGCAATTAAAATTTTGAGATGATTTATTTAAACTTTTCAATATTAAATCGGGCCCACCAGCGGCCGAGCGGTAAAGTCGCTGAACACTGGTAGTTCGGTCCGAGGTTCGAATCCCGCGAACGGGCTGGCTGTATGGCCGTTTTCGTGGTTTTCCCCATGTGTAACGTGTATACGAGCCAGTTTCCCTTAGAAAGTCCTCCACGAAGGCATCCCTCCCCTTAGGCAAATAGCCCTCGTGTGCTTTGCCATAATTAAATACACCAACACACCAATATTAAATCTCATGTAGTAAACTTAATCCTTGATATTTTGCTTATTCTTACATTATTAGGAATTTCATGCTTAATTTTGGTTTAAAGTGTAGTAATTTTGGCTTATAGGTCTATTTCATATAAATGTGATTTACGATTGGTCCCTCGAGCTAAATATAAAAGTAAGAAATTAAAATATTTCAATCTAGATTTAAAATATTTAATTATTTGACTGTAGTTTATTTTTTTAGTTAATAAATGATCAGTAATTTCATATCATCTTACATTAAAACTAAGAATTTAAAGCCATTCTAAATTAGGACTTATTAAAAAAATACAATTTGAGAACTTTATTTATCAGATTACACTAAATCAATACAGCAATGACCCAGAAATGAAATGTTTTTAAAATTTATTTATGAGTATAGTACATTATTAAGTTGCCTCAAGTATATTTTCTAGAAAATAAGAAATTTTTATTTCCATTAAATGGTATGTGCTACTGTAACCAGAAAGTATGATAATTCAAAAGTGGAAATCACCTGCAATATTTTGTCCCCGGGTCTCAATAAATTGCTTGCTGGGCCATTTTCCAAAACATGAGCAACATAAATGCCCTGCAATAATACAAACATTATTTTCACATAATTTAAATTAAGTTTAATTTCAGTACACCTAATACATGTCTATGAACATTTGGAATATTATTGTATCTAACAAAAATTATTTCTAATGCCATATGTTTCATACTCTTAAAAAGGATTGTTTATTTTATATATATTTCTGTATGCTTCATGTATAACCCTGAAGTTCCATTGCTTTAATTTTGTAAAGTACTAAATTTAAATCATTGTTATGGTTAGGCATGACAGATTAATAACATTAGGTTAAATGTTATTGGTTAGGCATGGTATTTAAGAGCAAGTTTCGCTTTTACAGATCCATTTTTCTACAATCCATATTTGCCTTTAGTCCCTTCCATGTTGTACAAAAGTTCAGTAATAACTCAAATGTTCTCTCAAAAAAGGTATGAACTAGATGTAAAATCTTTAGCTATTTTTACCCTAGTGCAGTTTTTCTATACCTCTTTGTACCTGAAGTAAAACTACACTGACTGGAAACAGAAAAATGATATTCATGTTTGCAGCAGCTTCCTCCTACATGACACTTTTGAAAGACAATAAGAACGGAGAAAATGCTTCACCATCCTGTCCTAACCTGTGAACTTAGACAATTTCTTAAGAGGTTGGCAGATGGCAAAATAGGAACTTTAATTTACTGCAGTGTTCTTTTTCTATTAATTTTAAGGGAAATGTGCCTTTATTTCTCTGCAGCATATTATATAGCTGTTAGAATAGATACATCACAATGAAATAACATGGCAGATCCTTAATCCTTTACAAATAATTGCCATGAATATGTGGTGGGTGCAGACTCACTTAAGAAAATATGTGCCACATGCATATGACAAAATTCTAAACTCTCCTTAGAAAATAAAAATAGCTTCAACCTTAAAGATGGGTGCCTTGCATGCATGTTTTCATGCAGAATGTTTATATGTTAACACAGATGGTGTTCTTTACCCATCCCACTTGATACAACACATTTACGCATCTTTATTTTAAGGATATAAACCATTAGATATATAATTTTTTAGTTTACCGGTTTTTCTTCTTTTCTTTCTAATAACAGCCCACTGTTATGGATTTTGTATATATGCAAATTATTTTAGTGAAATTATATGTAAAATGTAGAACCTCTTGTAGAGTGCAACAGGAAAGGGCTAAAAAATATGAAACTTCACTGGAAAAATAAGGTTACATGGGCAAGTCCATTTAACTTTGATGTAAATGGTTATCTTGCCACATTGAGAGACAGCGCAAAGATAGTAATGGTTTTGGAGACTAATTTTTGTTATTAAACTTGGGGAGAAATCACCAAAAAACACAAAACTTGGCAACATTTTGATCCCTGTGTAACTGTAACTGGTCCAATTCCCATGTAACTCTAACTGTATATGCCTTCCAGCAATTTCAAGAAAAAGAAGTTATTAGAAATTTCTTGGACAAGGGAAACTATATAAGATGGGAGAGAGTATTAGTTCTCAGTTTAATTCAGAGTTTAGCTCAGAGTATTGAAAGCACCGAGAGACCACTCTGAGAATTTAAGCACTCGAGGCTTTTTATATTGTCTTGTGTTTAATGTTCTTAGTAGTTCAAAGTGGTAACTATTGACTATACTCTGTTATACTGAGAACAGCTGTAAAAGTACTTTTGTGAATAGTTCTACAACTGTAAATGTTTTCCATTTAGGAAAATAAATTTCATTAAGTTATCATCAATTCTGTCTGCATTCAATAAATTATGAACTCATACACACATAACAATGTTTTGTACAAAAACGGCAGTCAAGTACATTAAAGAAGAGATTAAAGTGGGCTAAGAATTCGGTTAAAGAAGATAGGAAAGCTGTCCAAGGAAAGGCAGAAGCGTTCCAACGTAAGACTGAAGCATTTCAAGAGGAAATGAAAAGATCAATGCCTGATAGAAAAATGGTTCGAGGTTATGGAAGATTAAAATAGACACGGTTTAAAATAAAGTCAGAAAAATTGAAGAGTTTAAGCTGTTGAACAACAAATTGAAGAAATATTTTCTGCTCTTTGAACAACAATCAATGACAAAAATTTGGCAGCTATTGCCAAGGAAGTTAACAGCTTGAAGAAATCCACACTGACACTGGACAGGATTATGACGCTTTTAAATTCATACCTATGACTTCTCGACCCTCTCTAAAGCTATTCACATATGATGGAAAGACTTCCTGACAAATGCACAAGACTCAGTTCTCTATAGGCAAGGTGCACTTGAATGGTATTGCAAACCTAATGCCTGCCATCTCGCTGCTTCTCTGAGAGAAGGCAGAGCAGATATCCTTCAAACTCTGCCTGAAAACCAGAAGCTAGATGTCAAAGCTCTATCCCGTATGTTGGAGCTCCACTTTGACAAGGAAGAGTTTAAAAGGTTATAGCAAGCTCCAGTTAATATCTCACCAACAGAAGCTCATAGTAAAACTGACGAGGTTGCCATGGATGTTGACAGGCTGTGTCATCTTTTCACTTTTAAGACTGCCCAGTAGAAATGAGGGATATCCTGTTCCTACAGTATTTCATCAATGGCATTTGAGATCCTGAGATACAAAAAGCCCTGTGAATGGTGGATGTCAAGGATCTAAAAAGAAGTTCAGTGATCACCATCAAATTCATGGCAGCCCAACAAGCAACCCATAAGGATTGCCACTCAATCAGAGCTTCTCATGTCCAGGAGCCAATGGATCAACTGACTACTCATCTAGACCAGGCAATTTAATGATTTGAGGTGCAGCAGGAAAAGCAACCAAACCAATCGTTAAGCGTGGTGATGAAGGCCACATATGAGGAAACTACAGGAATTTGACATCACTATCTCATCAGAAACAATCATCATGCAGAAATGCCGAAGCTCTGTCTAGAAGACCCTGCCCAGAAAGCTGCCGATACTGTATCAGATTGAAGAAAAATATGAGCTGGTTAATCCGGTTGCATGCCAAGTTACAAATTCAACGTCGGCTGACCAAGACACATGGGGTTACGAAGATGTCATGAGAGGTCACTTGGAAGATGGTGACATTAAACCCATAACTGATCTAATGGAGTCTTGGAATAGGAAACCTATCTTGCAGGACATTTTAACCCATAGTTACAACCCCTACAACAAAATAATACTGTGCTCTCTGGGCTCACTCCATATGCAAAATGGCGTCTTGTACTGTAAGTTTGAATCGGATTAATGAAAGGTATTGCAATGACAGCTGATACTCCCAGGATCCTGTATCCCAGAAATCCTTAACCCCTTGCCTGTGACTCCCGAACTGAGTTCGGGAAAGAGAAAAATCGGTGTTTCAATTCCTTGAAGCCCAAACTCAGTTCGTCTAATGCATAATATGTAATTTATCATTTTCCCAATAGATTGCGATACTTTCCCGCGAACTGTTCGTCAGTTTTGTGCCATTTGCCGTATTTTCGTAATTTTGCATTTCTTCCCAAATAACCATATTATGTTCGCAGTGTCGGTATCAGATGACGATGAAAACTATTTGCTTGGCTCTTCATGCTCAGATACCAGTATTTCAACAGAAGAGTAAGACTATTCTGAAAGTGACGATGAAAGTGAAACTCTTTCATGCCGAACCTGGATGCCGCCATGTTTGAATAACCTTCCTTTAGCTGCTCCAAGATTCCCATTCCAACAACTTTGAACTATTTTTCGAAGGCAACTTGATTTACTCCATATATATGCAACTATATCTATTATTATCTTATATATGTGTTATATATGTAACTATATCTATTATTATCTTTAATCATAACTGTAATATAGAATGGTAGATGAGCAATGTAGAATAAACGATGTTTGTGTATATCTTGTAATCATCACTGAGCACATACCCAACATATATAAAATACAACAGATGACGCAGCGAACTGTAGATTAAAAAAAAAAAAAACTTTTTTGAAGAACCATGCAGCATCCGTAAAGATATTCTAAACAAAAACATGATGGGAAGTTGTTTACAGTGAAGAAACTTATATTGCTGGTAAGTGTGTTGTTTATTTTTATTGGAAGTGGCTAAAAATACATATATATAAACTATTTAAAGTCCTAAATTAAATATGGATGGATTAAAGCCACCAAGTAATCTAAATTTCGAAGGTAATTTAAGCGAAAATTGGAAGAAATGGAAACAAAAATTCAAAATTTATATGTTAGCATCTGGTGGTATTACTAAATCACCTGAAATTAAAGTAGCTATTTTATTGCAAATTATTGATGAAGAAGCACTTGAAAAATTTAATACTTTTAATTTAAGTGAAGAAGATAAGAAGGATGTTGACAAAGTAATTGAAGCGTTCGAAAATTTTTGCATACCGAAAGCAAACGAAAGTATTGATAGACATATATTTTTCTGTCGAACACAACATGTAGGTGAATCGTTTGATGATTTCTTAACCGATTTAAAGAAATTAAGTAGCAACTGTGGATTTGCAGAATTAAAAGACAGTTTAATAAGGGATAGAATAGTAAGTGGAATTCTAAATAAAAATCTCAAAGATAGATTATTAAGGGAAGATCAGTTAACATTGGAGAAACATATTAAAATGTGTAATGCTTCTGAATTAGCAGAACTTAAGCTGAAAACTTTAACTGAAGAAAATAAAATAGAAGCGATCAAACGTAATAAATTTCCACCTTCAGAGGAAAAAAGTCAGTCTTGTAAGAAAAACTATCATGTAAAACAAAAGCAACAAAGTACTAAATCTTCTTCAAACTATCAAGGAAATAAGTACAATAATCCAAAACCATGTAGAAAATGTGGAACTTTTCCTAAGTTATACAACTGTTCTGCTTATAATAAGATTTGCTTGTACTGTAAAAAGAAAAATCATTTTTCTAAAATGTGCACTTAAAAAAATGTTAATGTTGTACAGAATAATTTAGAGCATGAGTTACATAATAATGGTAATGAGTATATTTTAGGGTCAGTAGAAGATACAATCCATTTTCTAAAATAAAAAAAAAAC